CCCTGCCCTAGATTTTATAAGGACTATCATAAGTTAATTCTAGGTCTCTAATCTTCTGGCTTAAGATTCTAACATATACATAGATAATTGAATCTAATGTCCTCCCCCAACCCATCACCTCAGTTTATTTATTCATCTACTTTATCATTTTATATGGCTATACAACTTGAGGATTGTGACACTGATCAGGTAAAACAGGGTTAAAACAGAGAAAAGTAACCAAGAACATAGTACAACTGAGACCAATTACTTATGCTATAATGATTTGGAATAGTTATCATTCCCAATCATTACAGCATAAGTTCGGCCAACATTCTGACCTGACCCAATGCTCAGGTAAGACAGATTTTCAAGGCCTTACAGAAGGCCAACAGGGTTGGGTCTATCCAAATTTTATGGTATGTTCTGTAGGTCAGGTACCATGATAGATAAGGCCAGGGTTGTCAAACTCACAGCCTGCGACCCAAATGCATCACGCACTGGTCATGCCCACATTTGGTTTAGCAAAGGAAAATAATTGTGATATGTCATATGATGTCGGTGTGAGGATGCGAGTTTGATACCCCTGGATAAGGCAGACCTCTTAAATAAAGGAGATCACAATTTTGATCACTTCCAAATAGATCTATTGTACTCTTCCAACTCTTGAATGGAACCCTGTGATTGACTGCATGTACTGGATGGATTGCCAACTGAAATAATAATTAAACAATTTATTGAGCATAAGCAGATTGTTCTGGGTCAAAGACTTTTAACATTTAATACATCTAAATTAGACTTTGGTACCAGGAAATACCAATAATCACTAAGTCTCACTATGGGAGATGAGTCTTCAGTATTGTTTAACTCTCAGTATTGTTCTAGGATCATAATGCCTATGCATGTGTGTGAGAGGAAATAATAGAAAAAATAAATTTTTAACTGATATTCTCAACGTCCTTATCAAATGTACATTTTCCAGTTATTCAAAAATACACACGGTAGAACATACCAATTTAATCTTTTTTATGCTTCAACTTTACAAAAACATTCTTGCCCTCTATCTTACCCAAGTTCCTCAATGCATTTTGTTACAATTACCTTAGCAAATGTTTCCGTAGCAACCATTTTTTTTTCTTAATTTAGGCACATTTGACAGTCTAGCTTTCAAAGCCATGTTACAAGTGGGGAAAAACATTTACCTTTGTCAGTGTGATTCTTGGCACTTTAATACTTAAAAGATTTCATCTAGATCTGTCATAGACTTTAGCCCAAGTTGCAGAGGTTTGTTTGATGGCTACATATCTCCCTATACCTATGCATTTTTGAGGTTAGGACGATAAAATTGGTTATTACTTTTGCCTTCCTTTTTAATTACTGGTATGGTTTCTTCATGTTAGCTTTTGTTAATACTAAACAGCAGATGGACTAAACATTTAACTTGTGGAAAAAATCAGTACCTTGGGAGACAAAGTACTCCCTAAAGAATAGATCTTTTTTTCCTGTAGCCATAGAGATACAGATGTTCCTGATGCTCAATTTCAGAACAAGATGTAGCATAGCAGAAGAAATGGCTGGGCAAAGTGCAACAGGTTCTTGGCTATGCTGGCTAAAAGTTGCTTGCAGACAGTAGGGCATATTTTGATTCAAGAGGAACTGTAGCCCAGATCCTATCATCATCATCATGTTTGGGAGAAATTGGATTTTCTTGGGAATGGTTTTTTATTTAAATTGCTAAAATAGAAAGTTGGAATATTGCAAAGAAAAGTAACATTTCTCTGAGATTAGGGAGTGCTGAAAAAAATTGCTCCACAATCCTAATAAGAACAGACTGCTCTGAATGTAGAGGGGGAGAGGTTAAAATTACACACATTCCTTGCAGATTTTATTTCTCTACGAAATCTTACATATTCTTTGTTGACATAATTGTGGGTGTTTCAGTCAATAGTACATCCAATTAGAATACAACTTTATAATACTGCTTGAAATCAGTTGTAACACTTTTAGATACTTTTAGTATTTTTAGACACTAAATGTTTACAATTAAAACATCCTGCTGTATGTTGTTGTAACTCCTATATACTAATTGGAATACAATAATGGCAGTGAAAAAGTCTTAGTGAAGAGTGAACTCAACCATTTTTCTTTAAACTACTTCTTCCATACCAAATAATCTGAATTTCTAAGATAAAATTTCAGTCTTCTCCTTTTTCTCCCGACATTCCTGATACCATATGAAACACAGGTAAACTCAAACATGTTCACTTCCATCAGAATGATTAATAACATAATTGTCACTGATGTTGGTACTCAACAAAAATATACTCTAGCCCAATAAGGTACTCAAATTCATACGCACTGCTGAGTACTCTTTTTCAATGAACAAGATCTTCATTGTTAAAAAAGCATTATATTCTATTAATGCACCAGACTATCAGAGCTTTTGCCTGCACATTTAAAAGATGGTTCTTTTAAAGATTACATACTTAAATTCTTTTGAAAAATAAAAGGCTGTTTTAAAAATAAAATAAGAACATATCATTCCGTCTTCAAAATAATCTTACATTTGGAAAAGACTCTAGATTTAAGGTTTTATTTATGGATTGTTGATGAATACAATAGATTTTACAAGGAACAATATTAGATTACAAATACACAGGCAAAGGAAGAAAGCTTATTTGAAATATGTACGGTTCATCCATAAAATTCTGTATTTTGGTATTATATTCTTTTCTTTATAAAATGTCTCCATTATATGAATCAAGATACTTTATTTGAGAAATTGTGTTATTGTTCCTTGGATGTTTCCCTAACTGAAATTATTGATCTGCAAAAGCATTAATTTTTCATTGCAATATAAGAAGTAAAATAATATTTCAGAAAGCTCATTGAATTGTATAAGATTTAGGTAAATTAAATACATATGCATTTGACATTATAAGAACATTTGAACAGTGCTTCTTATCAGAATTTAGCAAACACTGTAAAAAATTATATAATTTTTATGTACTCAAACTATTTGATAACTAGTGCTATTAGTTTACTATAGTAAAGGCAACCTAGCTAGAGAATTTATTTATTGTGTTCATTGTATTGTATTCATTTTAATTCTCAGATTTTGTAATGATATTTTGGAAATATATGTCTATACAGGTGCAAAAAAATAACAGGTATTCCTACAAACATTACTGTTTCTGCTGATTTCTCAATTCTGAGCCTTGACAATTTTTTGGCTGGAAAGGCAAACAATTCAAATAGGCTCATGCAGCATAAACAGTATGAATAAAGACAGTAGCACAAAGATGACTTTCATTACAGTTATACTGTAGAAATGTTCTGCAAATATTTATTTAACAACAAATAATAAAAACCACAAGTATTTTAGATCAAATACGTTCACAAAAAGCAGTTAAGAGAGAGACAACAGAAAAGCTTTCTATTCAATAGTCTACACTGATGAACTATATTGCAAATTACACTCTTGGCAGGTGTCCTACTTTCCTGTGGACAAATTAATAACATTTGACACATTTGAAAGGCTATAACCATTCTAGCCATTGGCCTTGTTATTCTTACCTCATAAACGTCTTAAAGAGACTGACAAACATCTATTTAAATGAAACCAAGGGGGAGAAAAGAGGCAGTTGCTGCTATTGCAACATATACCGTAATACTATTAAACCAGGTGTTTTTGTTTGAACTGTTCTCAGCTCTTCAGTGGAATTTGCCTTCTTTCTCATTAGAAGTATGTAAAATGTTACAAGCCACAGTACTTGAGGAGAAATCAATTTATGGTCAGGAAATCATTCAAGAGCTGAGAAAGAGGCCATGTCACTGCTTAATTTCCAAGCTGCATTGCAGCCACGTTCCTTTGTTCTGATGCAGAAGGAATGTTCTTACTGATGGGCAAACTAGGACA